CAACACACTGTTTAGTTGATAAAGATGCGGAACACAAAGGTTATTAGCCTAACATGACGGCTAGTAGTCTATACAAGGCTATAGAAGGATACGCAACTGATCAGCAATATTCAGTGTTCATGGGCGTCAATTTTTCGGCTGATTCATCCTCGCGCTGCCGTTTGCTAGCCTCCGAGTTAGCTTACTTGGTAGAGCGACCGCCCCTGAAGGGGGATGGTCCCGGGTCCGATCACCAGACCAGGACGTTCGCCAACTGAGAAGCATTGTTTGTGAGCAATCCCAATGAATTTCGTTGTAGCCTCGTGTTACAAACGAGTGATTGTTAACTTCCTCTTGCATGTATTTTCCATCATTTTGCGGGCTTTCGCCCGATTCCCTTACAATATAGTTACGTTGGTATTACACTTCACCAATTACACTCTCGAAGCACCCCAAATACGCCCTCGGCATAAGGCTCCTTATATCGTAATCTGTGACGGGCACGACACCCCTGCTTGCCAGAGTTCACTGTTGAGCAATGGGCAAAGTGTCGAGATTGTTATACCAAATAGTTTAGTAGCGCACTTTGGACAGAGATATTGGGGACAAGATGTGCACGACCCTCGCTACATCTTGTCCCATTCGTACCTGCCAAAAGTGCGCTACATCACCATACTGTATAATAAAGTCACCAACTAGCCCAACCTTATTGAAAGTGTTGAGAGTCGAATGCCTTCGAAGTTCGTATACTTGAAGCAATGTAGACGTGCACCACATTTTAACGTAAAGCGCAAACGGACAAGTACGGAACAAGCAAACCGGACGAGCCCGTCTTTCTTGCTCCGTCCTTGACCATTTGCACTTTTCGTTATATAAGGTGAAGTTACTCACTCACCCAGTTTGCCATCGTATTGAAGTATATACGCCTCCAGCTATAGGCGTGCAAAAAGTTATTCATTAGGAGGAGGATGGGTAAGGGAGGAGGGCAAAGTCTAAAATGCAGCGCCCGCCTTTTCACACCTCCCGAACGGTGAGTCCTAAATATAAGATTTGCAATCGTGGAGGAAGAAAAGCAAAAAAAAAAAAGAGAGAAGGGAGCAGTATATTCCACGCGAGTGAAGTTCATTATGTCGGCCTAAAACGTGGTAAAAACGGGAGAGCGTGCGGTAGGTTTTAGTATTCTAGCGGGCGTCTCGTGCAGAGGCCGTTTTTGAAACAGGCGCGTTTTCATTAAAAGCTACCGGGAGCCATACCGCGAAGTCTCGGCAAGTCTCGTTGCTTGCGTGGTCTTGACACCAAGAGTATAGTGCCTAGAATATTCTAGGCACTATATGAAAAGTTAGATGTTGGGCCGACATTGCTGGCTTCAGTACGGCTTTGCTTGCTGAGGCTGCAGCCTCGGCAATTCAACCTTCTCAGTTTTTTTCCAAATGCGCCCGATACACCCGTTCACGACCCTCTCCTCTAGCTCTTTCCTGCTCTCGCCCATCGCCTAGCCTTCATGTGTGCTTTGCGGTGATGGGGGAGAGAGTAGCCCATCATGTGTGGTGCCTCACGACAGAAATAATATGAAGAAAAATTTTTTTGTTGTTCAATTGTGTCCAGATCCAGGGGGGGGGGGGCGGCGTCTTGCATTCCTCGTGTTCATGACGTCGACTGTCCCGCTCGCTCTGTAAAATATATAGTGTTTTGAGATAGCGTGTCAGCGTTCGTGGCGCGCTGCGAGCAACCAATGGGGAAGCTCACTGCAACGATAATTCATGCGCTGACTTTGAGAGCACGGTGATACAGCGGCGGCATTGCTTCGAGTCACGAAGAAGGACCCCCGAAGGAACGAATCTGACAGACGTATGATATTGGAGTGGGAAACACGTCGATGGCGTCATCGGCGGAAAGTGCTATGACGAACCTATGCATGTGGCGCCACAACACGACTACTCCCTGAACTAAGGCGGACTGACGGTCACCCTTTGGAAGTACGGCGGTTCGGGCTAGTTGGTATGACATGACTATAGTTATAGCGCGAGAACAGAACGACGACAAAGGCGACAAACGCGAAGAGAACGACGACTACGACGACAAACGTCTCCTTGTCCCTTGGTCGTCGTTCTGTTCTCGCGCTGTTACTATCGTCAGGTGATGACTCCTGTTGAGAAGCGTGCGTTTGATCTGGCATTGAAAGACATAAAGGAGGCGCTGCTCTAATTAAACCTAAAACTTTCATCTGCTACAAACACGAGTTACTATATACCTAAAATTTCGAAGATCCTCTAGCGCTGGGCTTTGAAAAAAAAATAACAATTTGGCAACGTTTGCGCATGCGCGTGATTTTGACGAGCTTTTGTTTTTTTTTCTTGCTTGTGCTGTGTGCGTGTGTACTTGCGAAAGCACGTGCATTTCATTGCACGGTTTGAGCAGCAGGAATCAAACGTTCTGGTGTATGTACTGGCGCGATCCGTCATCGCACGTAGGCTTCTTTTTTAAACTTCCATATTTTTTTCTCACTCCGAAGTACTTTGCGCTCAGACGAGGCCATAAAAAATGATGAAGCGCCGCGCTTATGGTGAATAATCGCCAGCACAGCTTTGCTCATTGTTTTTTTTTTGTCATTCAAATGCGGCAGAGAACATTTGAAACAAATGGAAATTGAACTTGTCGGACTCGGTAGGTTGTAAGCGAAAAGCTACGAGGCCATCAGGCAAGCGCTTGACATGCACTCTAAATAGCGAATGGGGAACAATCCGTCGCGGCACCATAATGAAAAAGCTTTCGATAGCACTGTCTCGACGGTGCAGGCGGAAGTTTTTAATGCGATTACCAAGGCAAGTACAAATTCTTCCGGGCTGTTATTCGTCTTTTTTTTTTCAGATTTTTATGCGGTAATCGCTAGACTGCCCTCCATTTTAGGGTCGCCATTTCACTCTATTTTGCACTTTGATTTTTTTCTTAATTTTTTATGGCTTGTAGGGACCTAAGAAAAATATGTAAGGTCCGGCGCGCGTTAAAAAAAAAGCTCAGACTCTCTACAGCAGAGTGGGGGAAAAGGTATAGGGAAGGAAACAGATCAGAGGAAAGGCTTAGCTTTAAAACAATAGGAAAACCGCCTCCTCTGGTGGCCATTTTTTTCTGTACAAGTGTCTAGCTCGGGTTCTAAATTGTTCCGTAAGTGGCTTCGCTGCTGCCTTGGGACACGTCATTCGCTTGATCTTACGTTAAACCTGTTTTTGTGACTTCTGTTTTCAGTTTCTTTGTGAACCTTGTGCGGACGCCGCGAAGGGTGAATATATTTGTTCTTTAACTGGCTCGTTATAATTCAAAACCCTACTGTCGGTGTTCCCCGATCCCTTCATCCCACCCATTATGTGTGTTTATTTTCTTTCAGCTTCTTAGTGTTAGATTGAGGTCTCGGGCTGGTGCTCAGATTTAGAAAGACAAGAGCATAGAAACGAACACTAACGACCAGATAATCGGTGCCGGAGATTTTTATCTACATGAAGTCAAGGAACGTACATTTGTCAACTGAAGAGCGCAAAATCTACATCGAGATTACTACGAAAGAGATTAGAAGATTTGAGAAATAAAGAACAAAACAGGGGTCCACGTTAACGTGTTTCAATTGTCCCCGACGGTAATGCGATTAAAGAACACGGAGGTACCGAGTGAGGGGTTATGGCAGTAGCTACCGTATGTTTCCCTCTTGGAGTAGCTGCATTCATAATTAAACCTTGTTTTAGACTTTTTTTTGTGTAGTTTTGCTGTTGCCGACACCATTTCCTACTTTGCACGCCCCTAAAAAGTTGGATTTTGCACAAGAACATCAGAAAGAAATGTATGACGTCATTCGCAGTCGTCCGTTATTATCTAACGAATGCGCCTTCTGCTCGCATAAGTGCAGTTGCAATAATCGATTGAGACTTCGTTTATTCCGCACATGCGTGTCTGCGTTTAGTTTTGTGTGATTTTTTTTTGTTGCTTTTAAGCCTTCAGGGTTTGTTGGTGTTTAATTTTTTTCTTTCGGAGCTGCCTTTGCATAGAACTTTGTATGCCCATATTTTCCACTGATACGATCGTCCCAATTTCTTTGTCTGTGAGAACTGTCGCATTTGATCTATGATCCTCGTGATTTAACGAGCGTACATGTATCATTTGACGACACACACGGGGACGAATGAGGACTTTAAGACCGAGTGGTTGAGTTATTTGCACGCGAAGACATCCAGTTTGAGTGCAGTTTTCTGTGATTTTGTTCTCGTGAATTCGGCACTCATTATATTTCGTTGTCGCTGAAGAAGAGCTACTGGCGTCATTTACAAATGGGCGAATATACCTTGTAAACATCCTACATTTAAATGAAAATGCTTTGGAGGTCTTGTGCTAAGCCGAGTTTTTTTTTACGTGTTATTTATGTACGTGTTGTGTGTCGACGAAGCATATATAAACATCCTGGAAAAAATCTACAGGAGATCAACAGCTACCATAGTGCTTCATAAGGAAAGCAACAAAATACCAATCAAGAAGGGTGTAAGGCACGGGGACACAATCTCCCCAATGCTATTTACCGCGTGCTTACAGGAGGTTTTCAGAGGCCTAGAATGGGAACAGATAAGGATAAGAGTTAATAGAGAGTACCTTAGTAGCCTACGCTTCGCCTATGACATTGCATTGCTGAGTAACTCAGGGGACGAATTGCAACTCATGATTACGAAGTTAGACAAGAAGAGCAGAAAGGTGGGTCTTAAAATGAATCTTCAGAAAACGAAAGTAATGTACAACAACCTCGGAAAAGAGCAGCGCTTCGAGATAGGTAATAGCGCACTTCAAGTTGTAAAAGACTATGTCTACTTAGGGCAGGTAATAACCGCGGAGCCGAACCACGAGACTGAAGTAGCTAGAAGAATAAGAATAGGTGGAGCACATTTGGCAAGCACTCTCAAATCGTGACAGGTAGATTGGCACTATCCTTCGAGAAGAAAGTATATACCTGCTGCATGCAGATGGTCTGCTGCATGCAGATGGCTATGCAGATGGTCCGTTACGTCATCGCTCATCTGCTGCTACCTGCGCTTGCGCATGCGGTAGCGCCGGCGGAACATGGCTTCAGCTGTCCTGGAAGCGACGAAGGCAGCGCATGCCCTCTGCCTATCGTCAAATGCCTGGCTCGACCAGAAGAGGGACTCTGGGCAGCTGAGCTCAACCAAGCCTGGACGGTTGCATCATCATCGACATCCACGAGCCCGACACCTATAAAAGAACAAGGACCTTCAACGGAGCGCTGTGGGCTTGGTGTCTGTGCCACTGCACGGATCACTAATCAATTCGCTCCCGCTATGCAGGTTGGTGAGCCCTACGTTGTCTTTTCGAAAAGATCTGGTAATTACTTTCTGGTACAGCTGCCAAGCCCGCATTGCTGTATGGTTATTATTGCCGAGTGTGTCCATGTAATTCGTGCACTACTAATTCTAGCTGGAGATGTTGAAACTAACCCTGGCCCTTCAAATATCTCTGAGAACCTTCTTGCTGAATTGCGTAAGCTGTCTACAGGTCAAACACAACTAATTGCAGAAGTACAGGGCTTGAAGTCTCAGCTCGGTAACACCGATAAAACAATTGGCGAACTGAACAAAAGATTATCAGACCTTGAAAGTCATTATCAGTCTCTGGTACCACTTCGAAAAGAAATAGAAGTCCTGCGCGTTAACACGGAGCAGACCTCCTGCAGAATCTTTGCACTAGAAGCCCGTATTGATGACGCTGAAAATCGCTCAAGGCGAAACAACCTAATATTTTACGGTATCCCGGACCCTTCCGCATCTGAAACATTTTCTGAATCGGAGCGGCTGGTAATAAATCTTTGCCGGGACAACCTACAGGTTCACTTAGAACCAAGAGATATCGAACGCGCGCATCGTCTCGGTCGACATTCACCTGAACGCTCCCGGCCCATAATCGTGAAGATTGCTCTGCACAAGACAAAAACTGCAATATTATCGAATGGTCGCAAGCTTAAGGGGACAAGTTACGGCATAGGTGAAGACTTCTCACGCTCAGTCCAAAATGCTAGAAAACAACTAATTGCTTTTGCGAGAAGTAACAACAAGCCATTTTCAATGCACTTCAAAACACTGCACATGAATCAGAAGCGCTACATTTTCGACGCCGAATCAAACACCGTCAAAGAACTATCGTAGCAATCAAGCCACCGGGAAAAAAAAACGACCGCTGTTGCGGTTACTAGCAAAACTCTTTCACTTTCTGTTATTTACACTAACATTCGCAGTTTCCTACCCAAACGGGAACTTATATCTAGCACTGTATCATCCTCTGAAAGCAATGTGCTATTACTTACCGAAACGTGGTTAACTGATGACATCCGTGATGACGAAGTTCTGTCAGAATTACCAAACTTCCAGTTGTACAGGAATAACCGCGCATCTACTCGTGGTGGCGGTGTACTCATTGCTGTTCACGAGCAATTATCTTGCTCAGTCGTACATATTAAAACAGAGCTAGAAATGCTCTGGGTACTTATTAAGGCACATCCTCAGTCCGTTGTACTGGGCGTTTGCTACCGACCACCCCGTGCTAGTTCCAATTTTAGCAACCAACTTAATCAGGCCATGTGCCAGCTCACGTCTGCTCATCCAAACGCGCACGTACTTTTATTCGGTGATTTTAATTTCCCACAAATAGAATGGCGCACCAGCAATGTGCATTCATCTACGGGTGTAGGTGAAGCTAATGCGTTTCTTGATATTTGCCTAAACTTCAACATGACCCAACTAGTCACAGAGCCAACACGTGTATCGCAAGATACAGCCAGTGTCCTGGATCTGATACTAACCAACAATCCTGAAAGCCTGTCACGCATTCACTATCTACCCGAAATCAGTGACCATAAGACAATTCACGCCACTTTTTCTTTTCAACCGCTTAAACGAGAAACCTACAAAAAAACGATCCATCTATATGACAGAGGGGATTACGAAACAATAAACGAAGCTCTTAGCGCATTCTTCCACACTTTCCAAGCAACTTTACATCAACACACAGTAGATACGAATTGGACCCGCTTCATCGGTAAACTGACGGAGCTAACCGATAAATTCATACCTAAAGTCAGCTTCACAAGCACCTGCAACAAACCCTGGTTTACTAAAAATCTAAAACGCCTTGAAAATAAAAAGAAACGTTTATTCCGATCTGCCAAACGTGCAGGTCAACCGAGTGTATGGGATAGGTACTATGAGGCTGACCGCAATTATCTTTTAGCCCTGCGCAAAGCAAAAAACTTCTTCTATAACACAGACCTACCCAAGCTACTGCAGACTAATCCCAGACAGTTCTGGAAAACACTTAAGGCTGACAAACCGCGTGACACTGTACTAACCCTTGAATCTGGTGAAGCTATTACTGACGGGGAATGTGCGAATCTATTCAACGCTTCTTTTGCTACAGTTTTTACTGATGAACCAAGCATACACTCCCGCATACCTTCACTTGGCTTTAATTGTAATCATGACATGCCAGCAATCAATTTCTGCGCAAATGGAATATTGTCTATAATAGAAAAAATGAAATTGTCATCCTCTGCGGGCATGGATGGTATCAATTCCAAAATTCTAAAAAATGTTAAAGAGAGTGCTTCGCTCTTTCTTGCTCTAATATTTTCCCAGTCCCTTTCCTCAGGAATCATCCCATGTGACTGGAAGATAGGGAAGGTCGTTCCGGTCTTCAAATCAGGCGATAGAAACTCTCCACTTAACTATCGCCCCATCTCCCTAACAAGCGTCCCCTGCAAGATCATGGAGCATGTCATCTACTCCCACATAATGAATTTTCTCGACAGCAATAATTTTTTTCACCCTTCACAACACGGCTTCCGCAAGGGGTTGTCGTGTGAAACACAGCTGGCAGCCTTCTTGCATGACATTCATACTAACCTCGACGTTAACGTACAAACCGATGCCGTTTTCTTGATTATGCTAAAGCATTCGATAAGGTGCCTCATCAACGATTGTTCGCTAAACTTTCCCAACTAAATTTACATCCCACCGTCATAAAATGGATAATAGAGTTCCTTACTAATCGATCACAACGCGTCGCTGTAAATAACCACCTGTCTACTGCCATCCCAGTAACATCAGGTGTCCCTCAAGGCTCCGTCCTTGGCCCGCTACTATTTTTAATCTATATTAACGACTTACCTTTGCATGTAACCAGTAATATACGTATGTTCGCAGATGACTGCGTTGTCTACCGCACAATACTAAACACCTCTGACCAGTTAACCTTAGAGAACGATCTTACTAACGTTTCGAAATGGTGTACCACTTGGTTAATGACACTAAACGTAAATAAATGCAAAACTATGTCATTTACGCGTAGCAATAATCCGCTCATGTTTCCGTACACAATCAACAGCTTACCCCTAGAACTGACTAACTCTTATAAATACCTAGGTGTCACCGTGACTAGCGATCTGATCTGGCGTACGCATGTCCAAAACATCATTTCATCGTCTAACAAAACCTTAGGCTTTTTAAAACGTCACCTCAAAAGTGCTCCAATGCAAGTAAGATTACTTGCCTACACATCACTAGTGCGACCGAAATTGGAATACGCATCCGCCATCTGGGACCCGCACCAAGCATACCTCATCTGCGCTCTAGAATCAGTTCAAAACCGTGCAGCTCGCTTCATTCATTCTTCGTATTCATACGACATCAGCGTCACATCACTAAAATTACTATCCAATCTTCCATCGCTCGCTCTTCGTCGGCGCATTTCTTCTCTCTGTCTTTACCATAAATTTTTTCACAGTTCAATCCTGCATCAACCATCTTACATCAAACCCGCAACACGCATATCAGCCAGGACAAGCCACACGCAGCAGGTTTCATTAATGCGCGCTCGAACATCAACATTTCTCGCGTCATTTTTTTCCCGCACAGCAAAAGACTGGAACGACCTCCCTTTTTCCATTGTCGACATAATATGTCCATCTTCTTTTGCACAACATGTCACTGACCATCTTCTAACAAATAACCTTTAAGTGCTTTTTTGAATTACATGTTGGTTACGTGTGTTATTTATTGTACATGCATATTTCCTTGTAATATGAAGAAATGTATATAGTTGAAACCCATGTATTGATTACGTTTGTTAAATATTATTCCCCACCCCTTATGTAATACCCCCATTGGGGGTCTTTAAGGAAAATAAACTGACTGACTGACTGACTGCTGCATCTTGCCGGTACTTAGCTACGGAGCAGAAACCTGGAGACTTACAAAGAGGGTTCAGCTTCAATCAAGGACGACGCAGCGAACAATGGAAAAGAAAATGGTGGGTGTAACCTTAAGAGACAAGAAGAGAGCAGAGTGGATTAGGAAACAAACGGGGGTTAAGGATATCATAGTTGAAATAAAGAAGAGGAAATGGACACGGGCCGGGCATGTAGCGCGTAGACAGGATAACCGCTGGTCATTGAGGGTAACTAACTGGATTCCCAGAGGAGGCAAGCAGGTTAGGGGAAGACAGAAGGTTAGGTGGGTAGATGAGATTAAGAAATTTGCGGGTATAAATTGGCAGCAGCAAGCACAGGACCGGGTTGACTGGCAGAACATGGGAGAGGCCTTTGTCCTGCAGTGGACATAGTCAAGCTGAAGATGATGAAGATAATAATGATGATGATGATGATGATTTAGCTACAAAGGCGCCCATTGCTTTTCGCGCTTTTCTGTTCAAGAATAAAATATGGTTAGCTCTACCTTTCGATAAAAAGGGCAACAAAATTTTCGTAACACATTGTCACGACTAATGTTGTTTTGCGAGTATAAATTGGGGCGCGAACGGAAGAAACATTTTGAGTGCTCAAACCGCGCGAATGGATTTAAATAATAAACAGAAGGTTGTACGATATACAGAAGAAAAGCTAATGAAGAAGTAATGCTTGTAGAAAGGTAATTACCCTTGTCACAACGCAAAAATAATAAAAAAACGTGAGTTTTTTAAGGCGTATTTGTCTGAGACGACTCTCAGACGTAAGTCGTCTTCATCCGTTTTCTTTTCAGTCAATTGCACTAATCCCCCCCCCCTTCCACCGCCTGTAATCTTTACGTACTTAACTTAGCTTTGCATTGCCTCCGCGACAGGATGCTTTCAAAGCTTTCTTCGCCTCACTTGTATTTATTGGGGTTTATAACAAAGCATCAAACAATTCTCTTTATTTTCTTACAGTGTAGTAGCAGCCGCATGAAGGGAGTGCTGCTAAAAAAATGCCCTCAGAAAAGATTTGCTGCCATTTAGGAGAAGTTATGCGCCGAGTTGGCATCAACTGTGCAGGTGAGCCTTTCGTACATTCACACAGATGCAGATAGCTTAAAGTCAAGAATGACTATTTTCGCCAACTCTACTGCCCTGCGTGTACATATCGATTCTGTATATAGTGTACTCAAACGAAAATTAGATTGAAGAGTCTGCATTTTTTTCGGGGGGGGGGGGGTATGTCATAGTTGTACGGTTCAAAGCACTTGTTATCAGCGCCCTCGCAATCCTTTTTTTTTGTCGATTCACACCGAAATTCGTCCGCGTGCTTGCTTGCATCAGCAGCGCATAGAAGACAACATGAAGGAACAAAGAGCGCGTATGATATGCAGATAGTAACTGCGCTCATATCAGCAAGAGAAGCAAGGAAGCACGCAAAAAATGCTAGCACCAGAACAATACATAGGCCCAATAGCGCACGTGTCACTTCGGTCATGCAGACGATATTGAATTTTACGGCTGGAACGCCTCTTCGTCGTCTGCTACTTGTTCTGCGACTCGTCTGCTCGCCTTGACAAAAAATATGTATATAGAGTGCGCATGAGCACTGGAGAATATAGCGCATGACATGTCAATTGCATTTGCTGCGAACCCCCTTTTTGCCATTCTGTATGTGCGATGATATGGACGTGTTGGTGCGCGTGACCTCAATGCCTAAGCCAGGAAACGCGGACAGACAGACAGACAGACAGACAGACAGACAGACAGACAGACAGACAGACAGACAGACAGACAGACAGACAGACAGACAGACAGACAGACAGACAGACAGACAGACAGACAGACAGATGGACGGACGGACGGACGGACGGAAGGACGGAAGGACAAACAGACAGACAGACAGACAGACAGACAGACAGACAGACAGACGGAAGGACGGAAGGA